TTAATGTTGTATCCTGCTACTCTACCAAATTCATTGATTAGCTCTAGTCATTTTCTAGTAGCATCTTTAGGATTATCTGCGTATGGTATCATGTCATCTGCAAACAGTGACAGTTTTACCTCTTCCTTTCCGATTTGGATTCCTTTTATTTCTTTTTCATCTCTGATTGCTGTGGCTAAAACTTCCAAAACTATGTTGAATAATAGTGGTGAGAGTGGGCAACCTTGTCTTGTTCCTGATCTTAGAAGAAATGGTTTCAATTTTTCACCATTGAGATTGATGTTGGCTGTGGGTTTGTCGTATATGGCCTTTATTATGTTGAGGTAGGTTCCCTCCATGCCTACTTTCTGGAGAGTTTTTATCATAAATGGGTGTTGAATTTTTTCAAAAGCTTTTTCTCCATCTATTGAGATGATCATATGGTTTCTATCCTTCGATTTGTTAATATGGTGTATCACATTGATTGATTTGTGTATATTGAAGAGTCCTTGCATTTCTGGGATAAATCCCACTTGATCATGGTGTATGATCCTTTTAATGTGTTGTTGGATTCTGTTTGCTAGTACTTTGTTGAGGATTTTTGCATCTATGTTCATCAGAGATATTGGCCTATAATTTCTTTTTTTATGACATCTTTGCCTGGTTTTGGTATCAGGGTGATGGTGGCCTCGTAGAATGAGTTTGGCAGTGTTCCTCCCTCTGCTATATTTTGGAAGAGCTTGAGAAGGATAGGTGTTAGCTCTCCTCTAAATGTTTGGTAGAATTCACCTGTGAAGCCATCTGGTCCTGGGCTTTGGTTTGTTGGAAAATTTTTAATTACAGTTTCAATTTCAGCGCTTGTGATTGGTCTGCTTATATTTTCTATTTCTTCCTGGTTCAGTCTCAGAAGGTTGTGCTTTTCTAAGAATTTGTCCATTTCTTCCAGGTTGTCCATTTTATTGGCATATAGTTGCTTGTAGTATTCTCTCCTTTGAATTTCTTCAGTGTCAGTCGTTACTTCTCCTTTTTCATTTCTAATTCTGTTGATTTGAGTCTTCTCCCTTTTTTTCTTGATGAGTCTGGCTAAAGGTTTATCAATTTTGTTTATCTTCTCAAAGAGCAAGCTTTTAGTTTTATTGATTTTTGCTATCATTTACTTCATTTCTTTTTCATTTATTTCTGATCTGATCTTTATGATTTCTTTCCTTCTGCTAACTTTGGGGTTTTTTTTGTTCTTCTTTCTCTAATGGCTTTAGGTGTAAGGTTAGGTTGTTTATTTGAGATTTTTCTCGTTTCTTGAGGTAGGCTTGTATTGCTATAAACTTCCCTCTTAGAACTGCTTTTGCTGCATCCCATAGGTTTTGGATCTTTGTGTTTTCATTGTCATTTGTTTCTAGGTAGTTTTTGATTTCCTCTTTGATTTCTTCAGTGATATCTTGGTTATTTAGTAGTGTATTGTTTAGCCTCCATGTGTTTGTATTTTTTACAGTTTTTTTCCTGTAATTGATATCTAGTCTCATAGCATTGTGGTCGGAAAAGATACTTGATACGAAATCAATTTTCTTAAATTTACCAAGGCTTGATTTGTGACCCAAGATATGGTCTATCCCGGAGAATGTTCCATGAGCACTTGAGAAGAAAGTGTATTCTATTGTTTTTGGATGGAATGTCCTAAAAATATCAATTAGGTCCATCTTGTTTAATGTATCATTTAAAGCTTGTGTTTCCTTATTTATTTTCATTTTTGATGATCTGTCCATTGGTGGATGTGGGCTGTTAAAGTCCCTGACTATTATTGTGTTACTGTTGATTTCCCCTTTTATGGCTGTTAGCATTTGCCTTATGTATTGAGGTGCTCCTATGTTGGGTGCATAAAGATTTACAATTGTCATATCTTCTTCTTGGACAATTGTTCTATCTTCTTCTTGGATTAATCCCTTGATCATTATGTAGTGTTCTTCTTTGTCTCTTGTAATAGTCTTTATTTTAAAGTCTATTTTGCCTGATACGAGAATTGCTTCTCCAGCTTTCTTTTGATTTCCATTTGCATTGCATATCTTTTTCCCTCCCCTCACTTTCAGTCTGTATGTGTCCCTAGGTCTGAAGTGGGTCTCTTGTAGACAGCATATGTACAGGTCTTGTTTTTGTATCCATTCAGCCAGTCTGTGTCTTTTGGTTGGAGTATTTAATGCATTTACATTTAAGGTACTTATCAATATGTAGGTTCCTATTACCATTTTCTTATTTGTTTTCGGTTTGTTTTGTAGGTCTTTTCCTTCTCTTGTGTTTCCTTCCTTTAGCATTTGTTCTAAAGCTGGTTTGGTGGTGTTGAATTCTGTTAATTTTTGCTTATCTATAAAGGTTTTAATTTCTCCATCGAATGTGAATGACGTCCTTGCTGGGTAGAGTAATCTTGGTTGTAGGTTTTTCCCTTTCATCACTTTAAATATGTCCTGCCACTCCCTTCTGGCTTGCAGAGTTTCTGCTGAAAAATCAGCTGTTAACCTTATGTTATTTGTTGCTTTTCCCTTGCTGCTTTTAATATTTTTTCTTTGTAGTTAATTTTTGATAGTTTGATTAATATGTGTTTTGGCATGTTTCTCTTTGGGTTTATCCTGTATGGGACTCTCTGTGCTTCCTGGACTTGACTGACTGTTTCCTTTCCCGTGTTAGGGAAGTTTTCGACTCTAATCTCTTCAAATATTTTCTCAGACCCTTTCTTTTTCTCTTCTTCCTCTGGGACCCCTATAATTCGAATGTTGGTGTGTTTAATGTCCCAGAGGGTCTGAGACTGTCCTCAGTTCTTTTCATTCTTTTTTCTTTATTCTGCCCCTTGGCAGTTATTTCCACCATTTTATCTTCCAGCTCCCTTCTCCGTTCTTCTGCCTCAGTTATTCTGTTATTGATTCCTTCTAGAGTATTTTTAATTTCAGTAATTGTGTTGTTCATCACTGTTTGTTTACTCTTTAGTTTTTCTAGATCCTTGCTAAATGTTTCTTGTATTTTCTCCATTCTGTTTCTGAGATTTTGGATCATCTTTACTGTCATTACTCTGAATTCTTTTTCAGGTAGGTTGCCTGTTTCATCTTCATTTATTTGGTCTTGTAGGTTTTTATCTTGCTCCTTCATCTGTAACATATTTTTTTGTTGTTTCATTTTTTTTTTTTTTTTGGATGGATGGTGCTATATTCCTGTCTTACTGGTTGTTTGGCCTGAGACGTCCAGCAGTGGAGTTTGCAGGCAGTTGGATAGAGCTGGATCTTGGTGCTGAGAGGAGGACCTCTGGGCAGCCTCACTCCGATTGATATTCCCTGGGGTCTGAGGTTCTCTGTGAGTCCAGCAGTTTGGACTTGGAGCTCTCACCACAGAAGCTCGGGCCCGACCTCTAGCCTGGGAACCAAGATCCCACAAGCATGTGGCAGGCGAAGTAATGGTCCCCCAAAGACACGGACATCCAGATCCCTGGAACCACCTGGCTGGTGCGTGGCAATGGGGACCCAGAGCTGCCGGAGGGGCAGAGTGGCGGACTGGTGTCCTCAGGGTCAGAGCCGGGCCACCTGTGCCGCCCGCACCGCCCAGCGCTCCAGGGACTCCGCCTGGGCTTGACAGGCATCTGTGTCCCAGATTCACATCCGAGGTCACGGATTTACATCAGTGACCCCAGTTTTACGTCTGAGGCACCAAATTTACACCTGAGGCCCCGGTTTTACATCCTGCGTGTTTTTTTTATGTTACTAGAATAGAGATCTTAGTTTAGCTGACTCTAGAAGGGCTGTGACTATCTAGCATTAAAAATGAACAAACAAAACTGTTCATCCGTAGAGTGACGCAGTTGTGGGACTCCCGGGTCCCAGGAGTTTTCTAGTGTTTTGAGCATGAGAGTGTAGGCTAAATGACATTTTGGTGCTCAGAATGTGTCTGACCCTCAAAGTGCACTTCACCAGCCAAGGAGAAGATCACTTACCTTTGTTTTTTTTGTTTTTGATTTTTAGCAGGTTCTACCCCGCAACCTCCTTAACTAGTAAAAAGAATATAGAACTGTAACGTGAGCAAAGGATACTGGGGCACCCATTTACTGAAAGGTTATTTGGATTTGTGGAATTTGTGTCTTTGCTGTTTTTCTTCTTCTTCCTCTTCTTTTAAATAAGTAAGGGCGAGAGTCTGTGTATGGTATGGTTGGCAGAGCACCAGTCTACCTGTGAGAAGACCTAGTCCTCCCTCTGGTATTGTTACCTTGCTGTTTTACCTTGGAAAAACAACTTAACCTCTCTGATCCTCTGTTTTCTCATTTCTTAAGAGAAGGAGGGTAGGCCAAATGTGTCTCAGAGATTCCTTTTCACAGTAGAATTGGAATATATGAGAAGGGTTCAGGGATGATCACCTAGACTGTTGGTCAGCACCTGAGGGCGTGGAGAGATAGCAGAGGTGGAGAATATGCAGCCCTGGGGTTAGTAATTATGGGGAAATTGAGTTGAAGAGGTCAGCACTGTGCCCACTAACAAATTTTCTTCTACCCGTTAGTCTATAAATAGATGTACAAAATCTCTAATGAGGCTCCCTGGGAGTGGAGAAATCACAATAAATTTCGTCGCCCCGGGTCCAGGGTTTGGTGGTCCAGTGTGATCACAGAGCCCTGCCTGAAAGAAAAAGGCCAGCTCTTCCAGAGTTTCTTCTAACCTGTCTTGTTACGAATTCCCAGAGGAACCTTTGAGTTGCAACAAACTCTGGATGTGTATGTTCCAAAAGGCCATCTTCTGCACAACCAGGGTTGGTACGGACGTGTCGCCTGGGGCTCCCAGGCCCCTGGCAGAAGCCAGCGCAGCATTGGACCTCAGCAGGCTCAGCCGCCACCTCTTTCCTCAGGTCGGCCTGGGGATTTGTTTTTGTCCTTCCAGATCTTTTTTTAACCTTTAAAACAACAACAACAATAACAGCTCTGGACATTCCCTTATGGTCGGCCTGGTAAATTAATCTGTCTTACAAATACGAAGCTCCATGGACCGGCCTTGACACTGTCTCTTTTCTTCCCTGACACAGAGCCATCACGCTGGAGAACCAGCTGGTGATCCTGGCAGCGACGGCCAGCGACGCAGGGGCTTACTACGTGCAGGCCGTCAACGAGAGGAACGGGGAGAACAAGACCAGCCCGCTCATTCACCTGAGCATAGCAGGTGAGTGCCCAGATCCCACATGGTCATTGTGAAAGCAGTGAATTCTGGATTTAACTAATAACCACCATCTCATGGGGCATTTTGCAATAAATCTTACCTCTCTGGGTTAGTGGTTATGGTTCAGTATTGATCCAATGTCTATAGTTGCTTTCTTTGAACTGATAGGCAGAAAATGTGAATCTGACCACTAATTCTGAATACAGGATCTTATTTGTTTGGGGGAATTTAAAATAACATTGTTGCTTTTGTACTCTGTTAATGTGTATGGTTTTTAACAACAACAAAACATCTTTTGGCTTATAAGGAGTTGTATCCATGAAACTTGAGACTAGATTAGGCCACAGGTTATGTTCTTTTACTTTAATTAAAAAAAACTCTTTGAGAAAATATATATATACTGAGTTGTGTTAAAATTAGGAGTATATCTTAAGAGTAACTAAAAGCCCGGATCATGAAGAAAATACACACACATCACAGTTAAATGTTCAGTTGATTTAAGGATGTTTTGGTTTAGGCAACTTAGTTTAAATGTTTGGCCTTTGAAAGAAGGCTCCAGAAATTCTACTAGGAAGAGTTGATTGCCGTAGAAGGGGGAAATGACCAGAAGCAAGAACTCGGAGCTCAAAGAGAGCAAAAGGTGCGTCTCAGAGATGCTACCAAATGTCTGCAGCGTGAAGCTTCGTGGTATGAAATGCAGTGATTATGCTGTTGAGAAAATACAGTTGGGAAATGGTCATGGTAGATTTCAAAATATTATGATCATGTCATACAAGAGTGAGTTAAGTGGATTTGTCTGTATAGTGGTAGATGTCATGTTTTTAAAAACCACCTTGAAAGAATGGCTCTCCTCTTCGGGTAGTTTGAAAAGTTTTGTTTCATATGCGGGATAGACCATAGTGTTTGCTTCTCCTGGTCCTTGAGGGATACAGTTGCTTTAGGCCTAATAGAGTTTACTGGGTTAACAGCACCACGGTCAGGAGACGGTGGGCATTAACTGCGTGTGCTCCCACATGCCCCGCACCTGCCCAGCAAGTGCTCCTAGGTGGCCACCACCCTGCCACCAGCTCCTAATTTCTAGGAGTTGAGTCCTCAGCCCCAGACCGCAGGCGATACAGATCTGGCCATCAGCGGGGCCTTTGCGGTACTTCAGAGAGTTGTATCCATTGATCAGGTGTAGGGCTCACAGAGTCCAGTGCGTGTTGTTCTGCTATTTAAAGGACCCTATGAATCAAGAATCATAGTGATTTATGGAGATTTTTCAGTATTAATAATAAAAGATGGAAATTTTGTTATTAAATATATTGAGATAATTTTAATGACTTCCAACTTTTATAATTAGAGCCATTTATTCTGTTTAGCAAATCTGATTCAGCACTCAGTTGTAATATACATACCAGGATAATAATAGGTCAAATTGGTGGAATTCTGAGTCAGAAACACAAAAATTGACCTTAGTCTATTAGAAGGGGGGAAAAAAATTCCACAAACATTCTGGTTAACTTGATGCTAACATCACGAAGGTATGAAATAGTCTGCACCTAGTAGTTTCCTACATGTCTACTCTACAAAGCCAGTAGAAAATAAAACGAATACAGTGAATTTGTAAGTTGCCGTACTAACGCCATACCATGCGTTAGATAATTGGAATATGTAAATTTTTTAATAATTTCAGCATCTAACCAAGAAGCATATTGGAAGCAGCTCATAAATATTATAATTAACTGCGTTGCATTGCGTTTCCTTGTGTAGTTTTATCTTTTCATTGGCGCTGGGTAAAATGTGTAGAAGGTGAGATATAAAGAAGCTGATGGTATGCACGGACTTATTTTAAATCTTAGGAGAAAACCTGCATTCTGTCCCCGCCTGTGCTCTCTGCTTTTTATGGGGACCAGGTAAAATGTGACAAGTAAGGAGGTTGAGGAAACGGCCTTATTTTAATTCTTGGGTGAACCTCACTGTGGATGTGTTAGATTTACCTAAAATTTAAAGGGCACCCAATCATGCATCTTCTCACTAAAATTCTATTTTGAAAACCTCTAAAGATCAGAAATCTTGATAAATCTGCAGAAGACCCCAGAATTGATTGTTTATTTATTTATTTATTTTAAATAGTCTCTTTTTAAACTTTATTTATTTATTTTTGGCTGCGTTGGGTCTTTGTTGCTGTGCGCAGGCTTCCTCTAGTTGCGGCGAGCGGGGGCTGCTCTTTGTTGTGGTGTGCGGGCTTCTCATTGCGGTGGCTTCTCTTGTTGTGGAGCACGGGCTCTAGGGCGCAGGCTCAGTAATTGTGGCGCACGGTCTTAGTTGCTCCGCGACATGTGGGACCTTCCTGGACCAGGGATCGAACCCTGGCAGGCGGATTCTTAACCACTGTGCCACCAGGGAAGTCCCTGTTTATTTATTTTCATTTTTATTTACTTATGTTTTCATCTTTTTGGCCATGCTACTCGGTTTGTGGGATGTTAGTTCCTCCACCAGGGATTGAACCCTTGCACCCTGTAGTGGAAGCTCGAGTCCTAACCACTGGACTGCTAGGGAATTCCCCAGAATTAATTGTTTAAATTTGCTCCTTTCTGGACTGCAATGAACGCTGTAAGGGGGGAAACTGCAGTTCAGGACTTCCCTGCCAGCACCCTGTGAGGCTGTGAAATACGGAGGGTGCACAACCCCACCAGATTTATTATGAAATTAGATACTCTCAAGACCTATTCATGCAGGTAGTAAGATGCAGTGTGTTCTGCAGGCTTAGACATCTTTTTTTTTTCTAATGTAGGCTTTGTAAAAACACCAAACAAGATTGATGAAAAATTTTAAAAACTTGCCGGCCAGCAATTCTGAAGAATCTAAAGATATTACAGCCAATTATCATTTAACGATGATAAATTTTCCCTTGGCATCAGGAGAATAAAGTAGGGAACATTTCTGTAGTGAATACGATCAAGGTGGTAGGGTACTGGAAATTAAATTCCTGGTGGATTGCACTGTAATTAATTTAAAAGTGGAAAGTGCTATGCGGCCCACCTCTTGTTTGCAGTCGTCGTAATAAACTGTTCCTCCTGCAGGGACAGCCTAGTGTCGAGGTGGAGTAGCACCCAGGGCCAGCCCTGCCTCGAAACATCAAAGTGCGTGATGCGCTACTCCGCAGCTGACAGGAGGAGATGACAGATTTTCCCAATCACCTGTGTACTTGAGAGTTCAAAACCTCACCACCTTTTCAGTTGCTGAATATTCTGGCTGCACTTGAAGCTTGCGGGAAGCAAAAGATAAAGACGGTTGAGATAAAAATAAATAAAATTTTTAAAACGCATGACAATTAGAAGTGAAACGCAGCCCCGTCATGGTACCGCCTGCTGTTTTGTGCATTATTATCCCTTAACTTCCCCCCCGCCCTTTTATATGGTTAAGAGGGTAAGTTACAGCATGTTCTGCACAGGTATTTCCTGTCGGGAAGGAGAGGACTTCTCTGAGCTATCCATTCTCCTGCTCCCAGTGAAAGCTTGCCACCATCGCGGGGGTGGATTCACTTTCAAGTTTTAATGTGACGTGAAGCCAGCAGATGTTAGGGCCATAGGTGGGACTGCCGAAGAACCCTGCATGAATTTTTCATCGCTGGCTCCCGTGGCTCAGCTGCACACCAGAAAGAGAATGGGATGAACTCTCCTGAGAGTACACATTTCCATTCTGAGGTCAAACTCAGGGAAGCTTTATGCACCTGCCAACCTGTTTTTGGTTTTCACTTTAAAGATTTTACATTGAGTTAACTTGTGTGGATCAGGTCTTCCGAACTGAATTAATATGTAAATGAGAGTTTCCTTTTGAAGATGAGAAGAATTCTGTACAGGGATTAACTAATTATTGTTTAAATGCCGTTGTACATACCTTAGACACACCATCAGCTCTGACCCAGTCTTCGGAATGTCCAGCGTAATGAGATTCTCTGCTGGAGACGAAGCTTAAATTAGAAAAGAAATGACTGCTCAAATGTCTGCTCCTCAAACAACATTTGCAGATGGGGTATCATTTCAGCTGATCCTCCTTCAGGCTGGCAAACCTTTGCTTTCAATTCTGACGACCACTTAACATTCTTTTGTCCTCTATAATTCTAATTTAACTGCAGACCTCATGTATGGTTAGTAGTTGAAAGTGAATTCCTGAGAATAATGTCTAGGAACAGTCGTCCAAGAGGACTGCCCTGTAAAACATGGCTTTTGTGTGCCCGGATAAAATCCTGTCTTATTTTCTTCATGCTTCTAACATTATAGCGAGAGAAGGGCCAGGCATAAGCCTTTCAGTTGTTCTTTGACATGAATTGGATGGCCAAAGCCGTAGGAACGGTTTGAAATGTTATTAAAGAGCAATCCTGAGGCAGTGTCTATATTATAAATGACCGATTTCAGATCCAGCTATGGCTTTATAGGGTAAATGGTACTTTACTGCCAGAATTTTCAGAAACATAAACGGGAAGTGTACTTTACAGTAGAATGATGAGTTTAATCATTTAGCATGTATTGACCTGCTAAGTAGGGTATGTAATGAAGCATAAGACATGCTCTGCCCAGACCTCCCGGAGCTGGTTATGGAAGGAGCTAAGTCTAGGCTGTGGTCTCTGAAGCCTTTTAATAGGCACACCATCAGTAAGGAGGCCTTGACATTCACCCCTGGTATATGCCTACTGAGCTGTCTATAAAGTATGAGTGTTTAGCTATCATACAAAAAGGTGAAATACTGAAAGGTGAAATAAACGGTATCTTGTTAATCATGAAAGTTTCATTCTGTCTTTAGTTCATGTCTCACAGCACAATATACAGTTTGTGAATGAAAATCCATACTTTACTTGGTCTTCCTGATAGTTTTTCTCTGGACAAGTTTGTCCTGGAATGTGGCTGATAAAGAGCACAGGTGTCAATGTTGCCATTTGTGTCTGTGTCGCTCATTTGTGCTAGACTTGTGAGTAACTCACATCTGTGATTTCTTCCCAGGTGTACTTTTGTATCCAGTTA